GCCGACTTCGGACACTTCCTTCGTTTCTTCTTCATGACTGTGAGAGCCTCCCAATATGTGGGGTGATAAAATCTGAATATTTACACTCCTAACAATTGACAACATGCAAATGCGTTTTCTCTGAGGCATTACATGCTTATGGTAAAAATGTCACTTGGTCCGCTACGCTTTACTCAGCGGCTGGTTCCTCCTGCTGAAATCGTGAAGTTGGATGGCACAATTACGAGAAAGGCGGTATGGTACAAGTGACTCCACCCACGCAATCAGCGTGGAATGCCCATTCACGATAGGATAATGCATTCGAAATCTCGCGATAAGCTGCTCTACTCAGAGATACGTCCGTAAATTGAAATGTTGGCTGTAAATTGATACAAGATAGCCCTCAGGGAGGGTAGGGGCGGTATTTTCACACATAGTCTCCGAAATGATTCCAGAAATCTAAGCCATTCCAAATCGATCACCCATAGTGACCCATGTTTCTCCTCTCGGTTTCCAACATCATTCGGAGTTTTAACAGTCGGTAAGCGGTGTAAAACCCAGGACGTTAACACAGAAAAGTCCGCTTTCCAATGGCCAACCCCATTTGGTAGGTACATTGCATATCCTGGAGATGGGGAGGGCGTGACCACGTACTTCACTCAAGTGCGGCAGCGGTCATATTTAAACAGGGATAACGTTCGCTTCAAACGGAAAAATCTCTCGAAATTCATTCTGTGCAATTGTCCCATTTTTATCTAAAGCAGCGGCCATGCCCCCCCCCCACATCCGGCATATGTGCACTGTGTAACTTGCACAGCAGTTTGATTAATTGTTAGTAAAATGAACTCACTTCAACGATCATCTTCTCTTCACTCAGAATACGAGGAGACAAGATATTTGGACTAAGAATTATGAGAGATGCAGACTCAGACGATTGAAAATGTGGCGAAAGTATACCTGAAAAATCTCTACAATGGAGAATCACCACCTCAGTGACAATGGAAATCAGTTATTATCACTGAGGTCAGTCGGGCGTGTCGCGTCAGTTTTTGGCGCGAATTCGGCCCGCTTTCCATCTATCGCTGCGACTTTGGGCGTCCAGTGAGCCATGGGAAAGGGGATGGCGCCGCGTCAAAACAAAACTATTAGGTTGTCCGGAAAGTTCTCAGCGTTTTGAGTGTTTCACTTTAAACGATCATAACTTTCTTAATACTCATCGGATTCAATCGAAACAAGCACCACAGCACCATAACTTTCGTATCGCGCACTGTGGCGTAAAACAGCAGTTATCAAACAAAAACAGTCTGAAACAAGCACCGTTCGAATTAGCACATTCTTGCCAATGTGACACCAGTGCCAATGTTTTTTCCTTTGATGAGTCGAGATCTCATCAAAGGAAAAACTGGGTGGTCGAGAATCTACGAAATCCACGAAGGCTTTTTTGCCTGGTCCTAATTGATGAAGTATTTTCCAGCAAGGAAGTTCTGAAAATGTTTGAAAAGGTGATAGTCGGTTGGTGAAAGGTCTGGAGAATATGGCGGGTGAGGTAGAACTTCAACCCCCAATTCGTTCAATTTATGGATAGTGATTTGTGAAACGTGTGGGCGGGCGTTGTCATGCAAAGAATCGGACCCTTTCTGTTGACAAGTGCTGGCTGCAGCTGACGCAATTTTCGGTACATTTCGTCGATTTCTTCACAGTAGGACTATGCTGTGATGGGTTTCCTGGTGACAAAAGTTATAGTGGATCACACCAGCCGATGACCACCCAGCTGACCATAACCTTTTTATGGCAAAATTCGCTTTGGAAATTGCCTCAGGGGTCCGCCGGCATCCAACCACTGTCCGAAACGTCTCCTGTTATCATACATGATCCACTTTTCATCACAGGTGACAATTCGGTCCAAAAACGGGTCGTTTCTGTTGCGCAAAAGCAGTGAAGAAGAAACCTCGAGACGTGCCAATTTCTGCCGGTCACTCAAATTGTGGGGCACCCACTTGTCGAGTTTTTTCACCTTCCCAATGCGTTTCAGACCATCTGCAACACTGGATTTGCCAACGCCTAGCTTTTCTGCAATCTCTCGAACTGTTTGGGATGGGTCAGCCTCCACAAACGCCTTCAAATCCTCGTCAGGTATTGCTTTAGGTCGACCGCTACGAGGTTCATCTTCAAGGCTGAAATCTCCAGAACGAAATTTGTCGAACCATTGTCGCACGGTGCTTTCTCCAACACTATTGGGCCCCACACCTGGTTAATTTTCGAGCTGTCTCGACTGCGGATTGACCCAATTTGTAGTTGAAGAAAAATATCGTCCGAAGTTGCTCTTTTGACATGCTTGAAAAACTCTTGAAAAAAGGGGGTCAATCAAGCAATGGTGAAACGGCAATTATACCATCAGATAGAAGATCTTCAGGATGTACTACTGAGACGCAAGAGAATGAGTTTTTAATCAGCAATGAATGTACAAAAAATAGTAACACAAAACGCTGAGAACTTTCCGGACAACCTAATAACACGCCCCATCACGCGCAGCGAATAAGACTGTAACTAACGAATAGCACTATAAAGTCCACACAGGAGTGCAAAAGGTGTGCCTCGTAGTACGCCCGTGCGTGGCCATGAGGGTCCAAACGAAGAACCGTATGCAGAATGAGGTAGAGGCGGCACGGAATTACGCCGCCGTCGCCAGACCTACTCGGAAACACCCTTTTGCCCTCATATGGACACTTCGTTAACTCCGAAAAAGGAAACGTACCAGGGCTCAGGACTTCGAAGACAAGAGCTTGAGGCGACAGTACACGTGGATCAAGAAATCTCGGCGACAATATTTCAGCCAACTGAAAAGTTATCGTTCAATAAATTTATTCCTAGTCGAGAAAAAACATTTCAGTTCGACATAAAACATCTTGAATGATGCCACTTTGATAGTTCCAAAATTCAACGAAAAAACAGTTGAATTGGAAATTCAACAGTAAGAATAACTCACAAAAACTTCAGGGCTAAGCACCCATGTATGAAGAGCTCGTGGCGAGAGTACTTCAACACGAAAAGCTGTAGGCGACAGTATCCGTGCAATCAGAGCATTCGGCGAGAGAACCGATGCTATGAAAGCTCGCGGTGACAGGGTTTCCACCTGAATTCAACCTTTAGCGCAAGCTTATGCTGGATGGAAGTACAGTTTGCCGTTGATCGTCCCTCTAAGGATACGCCATGTACACAGCTTCCCTGTGAATCGTCGAGGCATTTGAATATGTCTAGAAAGACCTCTGAGGTCAGCGCTCAAGTGCCAACGCCCTAATACCTCTCGGGCTTTTAGCGCTAACAGATTGTAAGATCCTTTCTGGACGAGAAGATTTGATTCTTGTAGGATAGAAATGTAACTCACCCCTAAAGCAGCCGGAAACAGGATCTCGCTGAGAAACGCACGAGGCGATAAAGTAAGGACCTCCAGTACTGCACCCTCACCGAGCAAGGATACGAACGCGGCCGGGTGAAGAGTTATGAAGTCAACCTCACCAGCGGCCGCAGTTTCATGAGGTCCACCTTCACCCTCAGCCTGTCGCCGTCGACGTCGGTGGTGAACTAAATACGTAAGACATCATCCGAAGGAATGTCTAGTGGGAAATTTCGAGTAGCTCACGTCTACCAGGCCCCCAAAATGGCCATTTAGGTTGATCCAAAGCGGCCAACGCTCGTATATCCCGTTCAAGTCGTGAGATTTTCTGCTCCTTGGACATGGAGCCCAGTTCGGTGATATTGATTCCGTGTCGCAGCTGATCTGAAATAGATCAAAGTGAAGTTCAGCAGCAGTTGTTGAAAATACCCGGAAAAGGACCTTGATCTTCGTAGATTAGTCTTAACTGCTCTTCCTTCATGAACGCGTACCCATTCCGCTCATAATCCATTCGTTGTTCATCGTCAAACATGGCTCGAGCTCTGAAAACGCGTCTGGGATAGTAAACGCATAGATTCGATAGTATCGCGCCACCTACCTCATCCATCTGGTGTTCTTTCGTTGGAGCTCTTCGACTACGGGTAGTTTGACATTCTTTGTCTCATCGATTTCAGGCTTTATTTTGACGAGCAGCTCCTAGAACAGCTTCTATTCTGCAAAGTTGATTTTTTCGCAAAGCGATTTTTCGCATTCTCGCGCGGAGCGCCGTCTACACTACACTTTTTATACAGTGGATCTCACGAGAAGCCACGCCTCAGATAGCTACACCCTTTTGCCGCGGACGTTGCAGGAGGGTTCAAATAGTAAGAAAAGTCAGACATAAGTTGGACGGTTGTCGAGTGAAAGAAAAATTTGCTGGGACCGCCAAATATAGCCCTTCTTCTAGCAAACCGTTTTAAAGGAGGAAAGGTGTAGCCTGTAAAGGAAGTCAAGCGAGAAAGGGACGAAAGAGAACATAGCAAAGGGCGGCGCAGAGCCTATCACACCATTTAGGGGGGGGGGGCGGAGTCATCTGCAAAGGGTGGGGTCTCTCGAGCAGCATTCGGCTCCGTCACTCTCTCCTCTCAGTTTTGAGGCAACTCTTTTCTTTCTTTTTCTTTGTCTTTTTTGCGGAAAACGCCAACTCACGAAAACGTGCCTCCAGTTAGCAGATCCTCGCCACCACTCACGTCCAAATTAAACGGTCCAGGAGGAACTGCTAGATACTCTAGGTCGGAGTATCGTTACCAATCTGAAAGCGTTTTATAGCAGTTTAGAGTAAACAAAGAAAATCAGTTAATATGCGAACGGGCGGGGTTTCATATGTGCACCTAGAGCTTTGATTGGTGCGTATATAGGGCACTTGGGCGAGCCTCACTGGGGGGTTGGGGGGGGAGGCGGTTGCTCCAACATTCACTGGTGGAAAGGCCGAGTAAGCGCAATTGCCTCCCGCACAGCTCCTGCCACCAATGACTGTTGACAGTAAACGCGTCGCCCTTGCTCACTGCCTTTAAAATACGTAAGTTCGGAGAAAATAGGATACTCACATCAAATAGTTCAGGCAACGAAAAATATCCGTCTTTCTGGAAGCTGAAGATGGTTGGCGAGAGAAGGCGACGTCCGGAGGAGTGTGACGTCTCCGGAAATAACGAAAAAAGCCGTGGTGACATCACTGACACTTTCTCTCCGGAGCTCTCAGCCTTAAAAAAGAAAACGAAAAACTCGATAAATTGACGAGGTTGATACTGACGTAGTGGTTTTTATTTACCGCACCAAGCCATTTCAATAACTATGTAGATCTTTATTGGGAGGGGGACATTGGTTGTGGCGGTCTTGGTTACACAATTTATCCAAAGGGTCCGTATAAGGCAGAAGCGATCTGAGGGCGGTCGTACATTAGCGAAATGGCCCCCACGCCGTCAGAGACAGCCTGCATCGTAGCGTTAGGTGCTGACAGCTCTACGTACTATACGGTTATTGGCGATCGGGTAACCTTTTTCGCAGCAATGGTGGCGCGGCCCGTAATGGCAAGCACTGGTGATTCCGAGCTGCGCGTCGCGTAGAACGACACCACATGACGCATCGCGCGACTAATGCCTTGGCTGTGGGGAGCTCCAGCGGTGCACAGCATTTTTTCGACCGGTACGCGTTTTTTGTTATATTTTGGGACCATTGAACTTGCGGAAGCTAGCAAGAAATAAGACCAGAAACACTCGTCTGCTGATTCTGTGTGCGCTTCAAGTGCCATCTGAAAGCCAACCGGCGGGAGTCATTTTAGTGATGTTCATCAAGCAAAAACGGCCGTAGCAGTCAAAGCTGATTCGTTTATGTGGTTGTGATCTATGACAGGTTTCTGGATCCTTCTGGTCTGGGACTAGCTTATCTGGAGTTTGAAATGATGTCCGAGGGTAGTTTCACTTTGATTTTTGACTTTTCCCACATCTCCGATGGGGGATGAAGCCGAAACGTTAGCCAATAAATCTGTTATATCATCTTGGTCACGGCTACAGCAATACACTAGCAAAAGATAAACCAGAACAGTCACCGAGGAACTTACCACAAAGGAGTTGATAACATTTAACACGTCTTGCATTGCTGAGACGGCGCTGTTCTTCATCTCCGGCGTTCGACTGTCGATGCCAAGGTCGACTTCATCAAATAACCTGAAGTGAGCAGAATGCCTATTCAGTCGAGGTCGGTCTTCAGCAGAATTCCAAAATAAGAGGGGTTTTGCCGCGATATCAGATGTGTGGGTTATAGCGCGGAAAGTGAAGTGGAAGACGCCATGTACCAAGCAATTATGCCGTGAAAGATGTCTTCAGAACCCGCAAAATGAGCCTTTTTTCTGGGTGTGTCGCACTTAAGTTTCCTGTCTCTCCAATGTTGTCCTAACTTCTCTCGAACATATTGCACCACATGGTGGCACTGATGGAGGGGCGGGACTACTTGGTAGGCGTGGTCGTTCAAACAATGCATCTATCAGCTCTTGAAATCACCTACCTCCGATTATGCTCATTCATGTGAGCAAAGAACGCGTTGCACTTTTCAACCGCGCTTGAAGTGGTCGTGAATACGTCGAAGCTTGTCCAGATGCGAAGTGGCTTTTGATCCCACTGAAAGCACTTTCCGTAGCTAAAGCAAAACATAGCTGGACGAGTTTATGCACTCACGTAGCAGTTTTCTCAAATATATCGATATGATTTCCTTCATTTGCAGGGCAGGACGTGATTGAGGAGGATCTGAAAATCGCAATGAACAGGCCTTCAGTAAAATGCTTTTTCGTGATTCACTTGATAGTCCCAGCGGTCCAACAATTAGCAGTGGAGCGCGGCAGTCGCGGTCGCACGATTCCCAAATGATTCGAAAAGCGGCGTAAGCGCTCGGTCTTGGCAACAGCCTTGTGAAAGCGCAACGAGAGCACTTCGCCGGTTTCCGGCAGTATCTTTTGGTTTATTGTCACTACATTCGCCTTCTTTCACTCTCAGT